TTAGAGTTACATTCACTATAAAGCATGAGCACGCCGTCGCTTGCCGAATGTTCAAAAAGAGACGATTAGAACGAATACTGATCTGAAAGTGAAGTACCTCTCAGGAGAAACACTCCAGGTGAAGAGTGTAGAAGATAATAATGAATAGAAATCACCATGAAACTTCCCCGGTTAATATTTAACATTAAGACAATTATTTGTTGTATTACAAGTTTTATGAAATGTTATGATTAAATATGCAAATGAGGCAATATGTAATGGCAACTTTTGGTGGATTCAGGAGAAATCTACAGACGTAAACAGACAAAGTAGTAAAATAAACGTTTTATTTCCTCTCGTCTGAAAGAAGACATAATATGGAAGTTAAATAGACCAAACTCTCTAAATCCTTTGAGTACATGGAGGTGGGTGAAAGTTGTTGTACAGCAACTGAAACTGAAACATGCGTGACATTGAAAAGTTAAGTAGGAGCATTAAGTGGGAGTTCTATAAACAGAAAGGTTGCTGTGGGGATCCCCCCCCGAGTAAAACTCACTTTTCCTCTCCAGACTCAAAGCTGAGTACATCCGCCATGATGGTGTCTATCTCCATCTTTAACTTCTGCACAGGATGAAAGAAAAGGCTTTAATATTCGTCTCCTCAATATTAGGAGGACACCTTCCCCAGTGATTTTTACATTATTTAGGAAACATATATTTTCTGTGTGTGTGTGTGTGTGTGTGTGTACCTGGATATCATCCAGAAGGGCTTTCTTATACGTCTTGATGCTCTCGATCTCCATCTTCTCGTCTGCTGTAAAATCTGAGGAAACTGTACAAAAAATAGGAACGAATCCGTCAAACAGAATCTCAGGGACTCAGATTTCCGGCCACACAACTTCCGTCACATCAGGACACTGATGGTTTAGTTAGGATACTTTGATGGTTTAATCATCTATTGAAAGCTTTTCTGTCAGATGTCAGCAGGTCTGTGGAAACACACTGGAGCTCTGTCTGCAGCGGTGACGTTCTAGTCACCTGTCTTTAGTTTGTGCTCTTTGTAAAGCAGAGGAAATGTGCAGAGTGCTAACGCCATGCATGAGTCAGCTTCACTCTGTCACTTCACAGATCACTTCACGGGTATAATCATTTGAATAAATCCCCACACACACACACACATGTATATTTCATATATCAACCACAGCACTACAAAGAGAGACTTCTCTGGAAGAGGCGTGAGACAGGTGGTGTGGTCACCGCTAAATATAACCACGGATACATTTCTTGGGAAAAGGATGCGAGAATGCAAATATATATTCAAACAAAGCTAACAGGCTCTGTGGAGGAACTACTTCCTAAAATACAGTTGAATAGAAGATAGTAGAGATTGCTCAGTGAACTCTACTTGAGGTGATGTAATGCATCCATCACTTGGAGGTTTGGAATTTGGAGGTTTTTCCCTCCAAAACTTATATTTTCCTCTCAGATTTCAAACTTTCCCATTTTGAAATTGATCTTAGAACAATTTTCTTTCTTTATTTGTATTTATGTGTTCATTTGCTGTCATTTGTTTTCACAGTAGTTGTATGAGAATAGCACTTAAATATACTTTATACATGAACTCTATTGAGTTTCTCTCGATTGGCTTGAACACCGTCACGCACGAGCAGGTCTGACCCTCGTGGTTGGACGATGCATTTGTTTCCTGCTGGACCGGAGCAGGTGAGGCTGCAAGTAACATTCTTACAACTCTCTCTTCACTACTTTATTTTGAAGACAATCAGCTGTTGCATGTAGAAAAGCAGTTCAGAGGCCGATTTGACCTTCAGCGAGCAGAGAGCGCTTCCCACAAAAACAAGACAAAAACAGAAGTCGTATAAATGTCACTTCTCGTCAGCGTCGAAGATTTCACAGTCAACACAACAGAGTGTGTTTCACGGTAGTTTCATGCAGTGACAGACACCAGTATGTGAGTAAAAGATGGCTCCCTCAGTGAGAAACAACTCTTCTCAGAATGTAAAGTTAACAGAAAGGTAGCACTTCCTGCAGAGATCTGTTTGACGTTCGTCACCTGACCGCAGGACTTCCACTTCCCCGCCCTTCCTCTGCACACCTTGTGCAACAACGCTGACGTCCAACCCTTCATTTACGTCACTTAGATTTTATTCTTAAAGCTTTGAGCTTTATTCTTATAAAGTAACTGTGCAGATACAGTAAATATCTTCACGCTTTAGAGGCGGATAGTTTAGATGTCCAACTAAAGAGAGCAACTTCTGTGTTTGTGTTGCTATCAGCGGTGTGGACGTCCTGTGAGCTCTGAGTGTGACCGTCTCTTCCCCATCTCAGCTGTCCGCCATGTGCATTGTGTCAGACTGTGACAACTGTGCACCATCAACACCACATTTCAAGAAAGACTGAAAGACTTCATTCTTGATATAATTCTGTTTCACGGCTGTTTGTAAACTGGTAAACTAACTAATTTAAGATAAAACTTTCACAGTTGTTTTGTCCATGCTGTGTCGACAACCCCAGTGTGTTGATGAGCACAACTTCATTGTCTAGTTAAAGACAGGCTCGTTAAATACCTCGTAACACATTAATAACACAGTTCATAATGTCATGAATCAAATCCTTACGCCTCAGCTTCAACCTTATCAATAAAGTTGTTTTAGACTTATGAGGAAAAAATATGAAATATGAAATATGAAATATGAGAACCAGCAATAAAAACAGAGGAGAGTAAAGCAGGTCTTACCCATTTGGCAATCAGTCATTTATATCCGAGAAGATTAATCAAGAACTATCAATATCAAAGCAGTTAAAGCGTGACGACCACCCCGACACACAGAGTAGTAACGCTTGAATGAAGCAGATGCTCTTTTTAAACCCCACCTCTCCATCACAACATCACACAGACAGAGGGGCAAGTAGAGCAGGCCTTCAAAATAAAACCCCTCGAAGGCTTACCCACTCCTTTATTAAACATGATAGATCTCTACAACATGGTCAGGACTGATGCTATGTTGACCTGTAATGAATAAAAAATTAAACTGTAGGTTGAACGAAGACGTTGACAAAAGAGGAAGCAGCTTTCCACCATAAAACAACAACAATAACACAGTTTTGCAATCTGCTTTTTGAATATTACATTTTCTTGCTTTGAGATTTCTTGAGGGGAGGTGACGGAGAAATTTGGTTGGACGATGAAACCCAATTGCACAAAGACCGACCAGGAAGTGAGTTTAGAAAGAAGCTCGTCACAACGCTTATTGTTATTGTGACAGAAATATATTCGTCACTTGATGCTTTAACGGATGAGACTTTTATTTTGAAAATGATATCCCCCTCCTTCTTGTCTCATTGTGTTGTTGTAACTCAGCCTTGACAGTAACATCTGGAAACCTGTGTTTGGACTCAGCATCCCTGTTCTGTTACAGATGCTGATGCGGACGATCCGCAGAAATATTAAATTATGAACACAACCGCACTGAAAATGAGGAATATTACAAAACATATAAGTAATACGCAAAGGTGAATATTTCTAACTGCTCCTCTGCTCAGAGGTCTGAGCGTGAAAAACATTAAGAAAAATGATGCTGAAGTGTCATCTAGTGGTGAGAAAGGGAGGTCACAGATATCAATATTTATATGATCATGAGTGTGGAGATGTGCTCGTGTTTCTCATTTATTTCCATTTTCTATCACTTTACAAACTACAATCAAACTTCACTTAAAGGTTAACTAGTCTACAAATGTGTGTTATAGTAGCAGGCGTACCATTAGTAGTAGTAGTAGTGGTAGTAGTAGTAGTAGTAGTAGCAGTAGTAGTATTATAGTAGTAGTAGTAGTAGTAGTAGCAGTAGTAGTATTATAGTAGTAGTAGTAGTAGTAGTAGTAGTGGTAGTAGTAGTAGTAGTAGTAGCAGTAGTAGTATTATAGTAGTAGTAGTAGTAGTAGTAGTAGTGGTAGTAGTAGTAGTAGTAGCAGTAGTAGTATTATAGTAGTAGTAGTAGTAGTAGCAGTAGTAGTATTATAGTAGTAGTAGTAGTAGTAGCAGTAGTAGTATTATAGTATTATTAGTAGTAGTAGTAGTTGTAGCAGTAGTAGTAGCAGTAGTAGTAGTAGTAGTAGTAGTAAGTTAAGTTAATCTTAACTATTAGTTTGTGTGTGTGTGTGTTTGATGTGTGTTTGATGTGTATGTAGCAGTAGTAGTATTAGTACTAGTAGTAGTGTTTTTTGTGTAATACTGAATTATTTCTGTTAATTTCCTTTTTATCACATTTCAAATTGAAAAAAACGTGTGTGTGTGTGTGTGTGTGTATTTAGTTTAATGTCTGTGTGTGTATGTGTGTGTGTGTATTTAGTTTATTGTGTGTGTGTGTGTGTGTATGTGTGTGTGTGTGTATTTAGTTTAATGTGTGTGTGTGTGTGTGTGTGTGTGTATGTGTGTGTGTGTGTGTATTTAGTTAAATGTGTGTGTGTGTGTGTGTGTGTGTATGTGTGTGTGTGTGTATTTAGTTTAATGTGTGTGTGTGTGTGTGTGCGTGTGTGTGTGTGTGTGTGTGTATTTAGTTTATTGTGTGCGTGTGTGTGGGTATGTGTGTGTGTGTGTATTTAGTTTAATGTGTGTGTGTGTGTGTGTGTGTGTGTGTGTGTATGTGTGTGTGTGTGTGTATTTAGTTTAATGTGTGTGTGTGTGTGTGTGGGGGGGGTAAGAGGAAGTGTCAAATAAAGCCCCGTTTTATTGTTTCTGCATCTTCCCCCTGTTAAAACACTTCTTGGCTGTTTCACACTCCTTATTTATTGCAGCGGTCTTTTTCTCCGTCATTCAACACTTGATATCATTTAGCTGGACCGTTTACACGCCGCTTGCACAAGTACCGTTGTTTAAGAGGAAGAAGAAGAAAAGAGATTGGTGCAAAAATGAAGGAAGAGAAGCTGAGAAAGAAGGGGAGGGAGGGAGGGAGGGGTGCAACAATTTCCTGTACTTGCATGCTGATCTGCGTCTGCGAGTCCGTTGAGTGTCACAGTGAAGAGCGCAGGCGAAGCTGAGCGGAACAGGATGCAGGCTATCAAATGTGTGGTCGTGGGAGATGGGTACGCCATTATTCTTTTACTTTTTACATTGTTATAACTTAAGAGGTGTTGACCCAGCTGATGCATGCCGGGGGACGTTTGGCCCTCAGGCTCAGGATTTATTTGATATAAATATTCAAAAGATGTTCACACGACCTGAAGAGCCTCGAGTCACAGTTCTGTCAAACTTCCGCAGTGATGCGTCTGTGTGATGTGGCGTTCGTTCGAGCTAACGCGAGGCTGCTGTTAAACTCGTTGAAGTGTCTCGTGTGTGTTTTGACAGCGCTGATTCAGAGCTGGACGCTGCAGGCCGCGGCATGCAGGGACATGCTGTGCTGCAGCGAGCACACACTGCTCACTGCAGATGGGAACACAAGAAATAACCCTAAAAGAAGAGCGGCTCAGAAGAGACACAAGTAGACAGGAAGGGAGTTTTCATGTTAAAGTTGGGCAACATTACACGCTCTAGTGTTGGAAAAAATGCAGAATTTGTCAGGTCTAAACTCTGAACAAGTTTGGACAATGTGTCGTCTGCCACATCAGAGACTCACTTCTTCTTCAAGGTGCGGCAGAAGGGCCGGCTGTCAGGATGGGGGGGGAGGGGGGGGGGGGCGGAAGTGCAGAAGCTGAAGTTAGATAAAGTCAAACGTTTACAGGTTACATTTCCTGGTGTGTGTGTGTGTGTGTGTGTGTTGAATGTGACTGTGATTTTGAACTGAAGAGTGAAGAAGGTCGGAGACCCAACATGTAACTAACTGGAAAGTTTGGTCGACTTTAACGCACTAACTCGATATTAAACAGCGTCTATGACGGTCAGCTTTGTTTTTGAGGTGAACACGCTCATAATCACAAGAATCACAACGTAGTCGAGTGTTTATTATTTTAATCGTGACGACAAAGCTGCTCATCTTAACAAAGTTCTAACACAAACCGTGATTTTTAACCTATTTTGCTTAAACCTAACCCAACCTCAGAGTCACAGTGTCACAGATCTCTTCTTCGTTGGTGGAGGTGAGTATAGGGAGTATAGGGAGCAACGATCTGTCGATCAATTCAGTGATCAACGAGCCAATATGATCGAAAAACAAAGTGAAGACGTCGACACACATCATCTTTAAAGATGCGCCTTTTATTTTGAAATTCCCATGATGCGTGTCCCCATTCCATCCAACAGCCCCTCCCCCCCCCCCCCCCTCCCCCCACAGAGCTCAGTGACGAAACTGTCAGTCACATTTGTGAGCTGATGTAAATGTAGCCGCTTGTGTTAAAGGGTCATGTGACGTCGTCTCTTGTCGATCGCAGGCTCCTGAATTGAATCGAAGTCGTATGGTGACTTAGTTTTATCAGCAGATATCACATCGTTGTCCAAAGAATCAATATAACATGGTGTCATCATAATGAAGCTTTTGAGTTACGCCTTAGTGTTAACTGCATGTACTTGGATCTCACTTTGCAGAGACCCAAACAGTTTAGTCTTTAAGTGTAATCGTCTGTAGTCATCAAAAACTCTTACTTTACTTTACTGTTATTTAACAATGCAGATGTGGCATCACGTTCCGCTCTGGAGAAAATGGAAGAAGGCCGTGTTTACTCACTTAATTTAGAGGATTGTTTTTTTATCAAAATCACTTTTACTCTGTTATTTAAAATCTAAAGTAGTTCAGAGCCAAAGTAAATGAAAATGTGTGACACATCTTGGCTTCTAATGAGGTCGTGACATTTTATTATTATTCTGAGGAAATAATCTGAATATATTTTACAACCTCATGGGTTCTAATTAATCAGTCCTATACCTATAAAATCATTTAATATATTTTCCACGTAATCTTGAAGGAGGAAGTAAAAACACTGCTGAAGCCCCCACAGGAGGGAGGCGAGGGCGGGTCCAACAAACAGCCTTCTGTCAGTTCCTCCTGTTCATTTATTCGTCACGTAACTTCAGTAACGGCACTTCCGTAGTTATTTTAAACCAAATGACCATCTTTTCCTAAACCTAACTAAGTAGTTTTGTTTCCTAAACACAACTGAGTTTCCTGTGAAGACAGAAGTTTTTACCTTGAAAAGACGGTTTTCCTGGAACGAGCGTGAATTGACACGTGTTGCTGGACTTTGTAGGAAAACACACAAAGAAATGTTGTCTTTGAAAACACACCGCTGACACAGAGAGATGGGTGCAGAGCTGCAGAGAACACCAACAGCAATAACCAGGAAACGAGAGCAATGTGAGGACAATAACCCAGTTTCACACCCGGCCGTTCACTAGAGTGGTGATTTGTCGGTTTTGTAAAACTGAGACAGAATAGTTCAGAATCCCCCCCGCTGAGATGAAACTACTCTGTCTTCACGAGAGCCGAGAAGCTGTCAGTTGAAGCTGGCTGGGATGTGACTCATTTCTGCCATGAGCTGTAGCGTAGCGTAGCATCACGCTGCAAACATCGCCTTTGAGTTTGAGTTTGAGTTCCTCCACCAGTTCACACAGAAGATGAACCTTGTGAAGCTTCTTTGAAGAGAAACTCTGCAGCTACACGTCTGCTTGAATTGTGACGAAACCAGATGTAAAAAAACAACGGATTTAAGCTTCTGTTGACAAAGAGAGAGAGAAGAGGGAGCTGGTCTCAGGTTTGTGGGGAAGTCTGCACAGATTGCGAGCCAACAGGCTGCTGATATATGGCCCTGTTACGGTGTTGGCCTTTAGGGTCGATGGACTGTTTCAACAACAGTTCAGTTCAATGGAAGTCCTCGAGGCCTAACAAACACATCGGGTGCATTTCATTCCTCATAAAACACAATTTACAACCACGTCCACTCGTCTTTGTCTTCTTCCCGTCCTCTGCTGGAACGGAAGGCGCATTTTAAAAATATAATCTGCTACAAATACGAGTCGCCTGTTTAAGTGTAGTCAGTAACCTAATCCCAGTGCCACAAACATTACACCGGATTACGTCAAAACCAAAAAGACGATGAATGTAGAGCAGAAAAGGGGAACGACATCACGGTGGAGTTCACCTTCTGCCTTCCAGCTGTGCAAATGTTTTCATCCCATCATGACTCCCATCCCTTGACAATCAGTGTAACAGTGTTATCAGTGTTACCTGATCAGCAGCAGCAGCTCTCATGTAGATTCAATCAGATTAACCGGTTAGTCCGCTGTTTTGTTTGCAGAAACAGAAACACGAAGCCGTTCGCTCCTTTCAATGAACCGTCTTTTCACGCTGGGATGCCTCTCTGCAGAAACAATGATCCTGATGAACTGAAGTTGTGCTGTGATGTTGTTTTTACGTTTCTTCTTAGCAAACCATGTAACGGGGAAACTTCCACGCGATGAAAGCCTTTTCTCCACTCACATCAGAGGCCACTGTGTCAGCTCAGTATCCTAAAAACAACTCCAATGGGAAGCACATCTGGATCCTTTTTGTTGTGGTGGACACACAAATGAAATGCATCCGTGTGACAAGGCGACGGTCAGAGCTCGTGATTCAGTGCTAAATATCGACAGACTTTCAACCGTGAGACCGGTGTCTGACGCCGCGTGTCCCAAAGTGAGGCTTTGTTGCCTTAATCTAACCGTACGTAGTTATAACGTCCCGAAAAATAAAAAACAACCTTAGACGGCTTTTTGTGACTGTTTCACAAACTGCCGTGAGACTGTGTCGTGAGTGGTGTGTGTGTCTAGAAGTGGATGACATTATATATTGTTCTTTCCTATAACATGTTTTTAAGATCGTAATCCTGTTCATGATCCCCAGTCCTACTAAATGTACCAGTAGTCTGATTACCTCGTGTTTGTCCTGTAACTACAGTTTTTATCCTAATTACATTCTGTGTATTCTGTCACTCCTCAAACCTGAGCAAACCGGGAAACAACTCGCTGAGAAACAGCCCCACGGCGTTACTACCAGTTTAGAACTCTACGGGGAACCTTTGACAAGCAGCGGCCTGTCGGACAGTAAACACAAACACACCGAACTTCACAGCATTTCAAATTCTAATGGGGATCAAAATGCGGCAGACTGGCTTTAAGAAATATGTTATAAATCATGAACAAGGCTCCTAGAAATATGTTTCGTTTGATGGAATGATGAGAGCTATAACAAGCATGTGAATGTGTGGTGCAGTGTAGACGACGAAGTAGAGTAAAACTATTCTAACAGCTGCAGATGGTTAGGCGGCGATTGTAGGCCTTCACGTCGCTCTGAATAAACTGTGTGGACGTTAGCGGCCGAGCTAACGCGCTTCAACGGCGGCTAGCTCAGAGAGCTTTCATCCTTCTTCAACTCCTGAATGAATTGAAGTCCTCCGATCCTGAGAGGCAAAGGCCAGAGTGGAGTGAACGACACGGGGAAGAGAAAATAGAAAGAGGTTTGGAAAGCTGCTTGGACTGACTGGATTGGTTCAGAGCTTGTTAGCGCTTAGCTACGTCTCCAAGCCTCCAGCGGGACATGTTTCTAAATGAATTTCACTGTTCCACTTTGTGGTGTCAGCATCCTTTAATGTATTTAATAAAGTGATGTTTCAGGGTAAAATAACTGAAGATAGTTCACATCAAACAGCCACTGATACAAACTGAGCCCCACATTAAACCTTCACTCCATCAGACTCCATTTCTTCTTCATCCTTTGGACTAAACCATGTGGAGGGAGACAGGGCGGAGTCTCAAAGTAAGATGGAGTAAAATGAGAGGAAGCACGTTGTTAGTGATGGTTTACGAGATTCAAAGAGAGACGAATAAGAAAGAATAAGAAGGATGGACAAAGAGAATAAGGGAGAGAGCAGTGAGACGGGAGAGTTCAAACCAGATAGTTAATGTGTGCAGAAAAGACGACGGACAACCGGATTTAGAGGAAAGAGACGAGATCAGAGCTTGACGTTTTGTAGTTTAGCTGGTTCCTGTTTTCAGTAATTACTTCTGAAACAGATCAGTTCCCTTTATGACTCACGCAGCCACGAAACACACACTTCATGACAAAACGCTCTCTGTGATCGAGCACACCGTCTCTCTTTTAATCTATAGATAAGCCCGACGTTCACATTCCGCCCAAAACCAGAGTCTAACCTTAAAAACACGTAAAAACCACGTCTGAGTCTTCAAACAGCTCGACAACATGTCGTCACGCTCCCCCTGGTCCTCACAAAGATAGATGATCTCTCACACACACACACACACACACACACACACACACACACACACACAGCTGTTCTCAGCTGGCAGCTGGGCTGCTCATATTGAGTCATCTAGTTCTGGGCTGAGCACATTTAAAATGCCAACTTTATATGACGAGAGACTTGTTTTTAATCTAAAACAATGTAGATTTTAGTGTCACAAAGTCTTTAATTGACTTTTGATGCACCTGTTTACGTTTAGGGGTCAGTTCATCCTAATTACAGACAGATATGTCGTCTCAGTTGTCTGTTCTTAAGCTTTGTAGGAGCAGCTGGACCAAAGCTCCGTCCTTCAGTCAGTGTTTCTCTTTAAGGGAAACGGCATTTTAACTGATAAATATCAACATGAAACTTTTTCCAGTTGACTACTTAAGAATTTGCGTAAATCTGCAGAACAGAAACCAGAACATTTGATAAAGCCAGGTTTAATATTCTTCTTTCATTTTGTCCACAAGGGAATTAAAGTACCAACAGTAAAAGTACTCATTATGCAGAATGTCCAAACCTGTATTCTATTTATTGTAATATTGTTATATTTACTATTGAGTCCTTCAGTCTCTGTCTGTCTTCAGTGATACTGTCTTCATGTCTCACTGTGTGTGTTTTTGACTTGTGTGATTCAGAGCTGTGGGAAAAACATGTCTCCTCATCAGCTACACGACCAACGCGTTCCCCGGGGAATACATCCCTACTGTGTGAGTATGCTGCTCTCTGTGTTCTCCCTCTGTGGTCTACGAGGTACTATGTGTACTGTACTATGTACTGTACTATGCAGACATAAATATTCACACACACACACACACACTGCAGTACGTCTGCAGATCTCTGACAGGTTTGAGCAGCAGCCTGCAAGTTCGGAACAAAAACTGAGTAAGAGAAGTAAAACGTGAATGATGACGTAATCCAGTGGGTTCAAACCTTTTTCCTTGACCCCCCCCCCCCCCCCTTACTGGTATTTAAGGAAAGCTGAGCTTAATAACCGAACAGTAGGTCCAGAGAAGGTAAACGACGTGTTGGGTGTTATGTGCTCTACAAATAAAATGTAGTTTTATTGCGATGAATTCACAAAGCCGACGGATGAGACTGCAGTGCTTCAATGTGACCACACGAGGGCAGCGCTGTTTAAATGTTATAATCTAGAGCAGCAAACAAACAGAGGCCACTTTAAATGCATCATTACTGGAACCGGGCATAAATAGTCCGTTTAGGTTCATGAGCTGATTATTGTGCTAAACATGAAAGTAAACAATGTTTTTTTATTTAAGCCATATTTCTGATCATGCTAAACCCTAAAACACTTTCTCTTTCTGTAATAAAACACTTTATAAAACCTAAAACTGTGACACCCTAGCTTGGCGTGATGGCTTTTATAAATCAGTTTGCTTGATTGTTGTATTGATTAAGCGTGTGCTCCTTCATGTGCTCCTTCATGTGCTCCTTCATGTGCTCCTTCATGTGCTCCTTCATGTGCTCCTTCATGCTCCCCACAGGTTTGACAACTACTCGGCCAACGTGATGGTGGACAGCAAGCCGGTCAACCTGGGCCTCTGGGATACTGCTGGACAGGAAGACTACGACAGGCTCCGCCCACTGTCCTACCCCCAGACGGTACACACACACACACACACACACACACACACACACACAGACGCACACTTCATTAGAAAAGATTAGAAACACAACCCGCTGTGAAGCCCAGGAGAGTTGAAATTGCGGAAGAAGAAGAAAACAGATTACTGAGTCCGCTGCTAAACATAAAAGATAATATTGTTATAATGTGAGACTTTACTGTGTTTCAGTGTGAATATTAAACAAATGTAGCCAAACACACACACGTATTATTGCAATATTGAAGATTGTCAAGTGTGTCATTTGGAGCCCCGCCCCTAAAGCACACCCGCACACCCACGCAGGTTTTAACTCACTCCAGCACCGGCTTCACTTTAGAGAACATTGGATTTTCATAGTGTTGACACAAAACGCACACGTTACAACTTCATAATCTGATTTCTAACTCAACCTCCACCATGTAGCACATATTTACATACTGATGTAAAAAGCCTTCAATTACAAAAAAAATACATGTGAGAAGAGATACGAATAGAGAACCAACCACAGCTGATTTCCATCTTAGCACCACACATAACCACCTGGTTACACCTGATCCCCGTCACGTGTATTCATTGTTCAAGGGCAAAACTTTCCCTCAGTAAACACGGACATAGCCAGACGCAGAGGGACTCTTGTCCTCGTGGAGCGGGTGGGACGCCCGTGACCAGCCAGACAATGAACGCTGGATGTCTGGACATATGTGCAGAAGAGTGTTTCCCACGTGAATCACAAGAGAGGACGTACGGTGTGGAGCAGCAGACAGGGTCGACTAGCATCTGTAGCTGTCCTGTAGCTGTCTCTCTATACGGACTCTCTCTGTATCTGACTCGCTCCATGTTTACTGAGAGAAACCCATTCCATAGATCTGCCCTTCTTCAGAGCGCACATGGCAGAGACTTGAAAAGCACGATCAGCTGTGGGTGGTCTTCTCTATTTGTATTTTATAGATGTAGCAGAATGCAGCAAATTGCAATCAAATATACTGAATAATGTAGGATGGAGTTTTTTTGTTTCGTGGTAACACAAGAACAATTACGTGGAAGTACTCGTACTAAAAATAGATTTTGGGGTCAAATTAACCCGAACCTAAAGGTCCATAATGCTCTATTATATCCAATAATTCATGTAGTTATCAAGTGTGGTGAAATGCAGCCTCCGTCTCATCTCATGCTCTCTCCTTGTAGGATGTTTTCCTCATCTGCTTCTCTCTGGTGAGCCCGGCGTCCTACGAGAACGTCAGAGCCAAGGTGAGTCTCCTTTCTGAGCTACATTCATATTTGTAGATTATTTGCATCCATAATTTTAGTCTGTGAACTCAAGTAGCAACAACAAGGGGTTAATGAATAGAAACAAAACAATCATCTAGTTGTTGCCTCTTCTTGCTGAATCAGACGGACGGAGGTGGTTCACTTGAGTGTGCAGGAAAACAAAAAGTCAGACTTTAAAGAGCAGTCGTACAACAATAATCGAACAAAGACGTTTTGAAGAGGAGCAGAGAGAATGACGCAGGGGGGGTGGTGGTTCAAATGCAACAGTTTGACATTTGGTCTGACAGACAATTGGATTCTGGGCTGTCACAGATAATTGAATTCATCTAATTTAAGGGAACGACTCCACTGAACACTGATGGTGTAGACTTTAATGTGCCGATAGTACGGTGGCCCTGAGAGCTCAAAGCACTGCAACCCAAAAACAAACAAACAAACACATGCAAATAGACAGAAAACTATTTAACAACACGTGGGCAGCATTTGGAAAAAGTGCTGCAAGAAGCTCCCAACACAACGGAAACTGTTTACAGGGGACACTGAACATGTATGCACACGTCTCTGTCAATCACCGTGTAGTCCCGCCCTAAAGCATCCCCTGCTTTATGGTCTGCTTGACTCTAAATGGACCATAATGTACTAAATGAACATCATGCTGTATTGATGAGTTAGTTAGCTGTAGTTAGATGTATGTGTACGATTGTGAGATTAAAAGCTTTCATGTACAGCACTTTCATCTCAAGCGCTCTCTCGGTGTTAGTAATAATATATCAACGACATGTAGAGAATGACCAGCATCCTGTTTTCTCAATGTCCATCCATCACCAACCACATCGCATTCCCTCTGTGCTACATCACACGAGACACAACCAACTGGGGAGAAAGCTCAGAGATATTTATGGAGTTAGAAGGAAATGAGATCTCTCATCTACATCAAGATACGTGATCAAAAGTAAAGCAGAAAGCAGATCACACAAACCACCCTGTCTGGCTTTTAATCGCATGCTGCCATCCCACAGCGTGTCGCTAACGGTGGAATGTTGTAACGTATCCTCATACAACGGTTCGTATGATACCTTTTTGTGCGTTTTCCTACGATAGACCAGCAACACATGTTCATTTCCACTTGTTCGATGCATACATTTCAAAATAAACTTCCATCTTCACAGGAAACAAAGACTACTTAGTTAGGTTAAGGCAGGTTTAGGTGGGAGAGCCGTGTTTGCTGGACTGTGGGATGAATTATGATGCATTATTTTTTGTAGGTATAGCTATAGAAGCTGGATGAGAACAGCCTGAATATTGCCGTTAGTCCAAGTTAGTCGACATAGGTCCAACTCAAGTGTCAGGTCCAGTAAGACAAGTCCAAGTCAAGCTTTAAGTCATCGAGGAGAAGTCGCATTCGAGTCTTAAGTCAACTGAAGTACAAGTCAAATCTGAGCTCATTCAAGACAAGTCGAATTTGCTTCAGAGGAAGCTTTGAGTCAAACTAACTTGATGTGTTGAAGTGTGGTTTAAAAACTTGGCTGCGACCAACGCTAAATTTACCGACGTTTAAATAGAATTGGCTCAAAGAAGCAGCAGTGCGATACATCAAGTGATACCCATAATCCCCACACGTCAGCTGGCTTGTGTGAGCAGACTACTCCACTGAGCTGCTGAGATCTGCCAATCAAAAACTACAACTGTCACTTTGGGGCGCTTACAGAATCTTCTTGGAAGCTAATTCTTTCAGCAGATAGCATCTCTCATTTCCTCACTGAGGAAAATGGACGAAGACAGGATAGAAGAGGTAAAGAGCAGAGCGAGAAAGAGAGAGAAGTCGGGAAAGGGAGACGTATGGTGGGCAGGAAGAGGCAAACTAGAGGTCAGAGGAAAAAGAAGGGAAGATAGTGTCCGTCTGGGATGAGAGATAACAACCGAAGAAGAACGTGGAAGCAGCCAGAACAGATCTGAAGATGAAAGCCTCACTCATGTTTCATTACCTATAACTTTTAGTTTTGCATTCTCACACTCATTTCGTGACAATTCATTACAACGAGGCTGACTCCGTCATCCATCTTTTCGGTTTCCAACTTTCTCCTCTCGTCTTCCCCCACTGCCGTCGTTATCTTCATCCCTCCCTGTGTGTATTCCCCCTTTTTTGCTCTCTTCTCATTTTGTCCGCCTTTCGATTCTGTCCAGTGGTACCCGGAGGTTCGCCACCACTGCCCCTCCACCCCCATCATCCTGGTGGGCACCAAGCTGGATCTGAGGGATGAGAAGGAAACCATTGAGAAGCTGAAGGACAAGAAGCTGGCACCAATCACCTACCCGCAGGGCCTGGCTCTGGCCAAGGAGATAGGTGAGTGATGCTGCTGGGCTCCTCTCAGGTCTTCCATGACGGGAATGTGTTGCCTTTTAACTAAGATTCTGGGATGGAGGTCAATGTGATCAACGTATTTTGGATAGTTTGCGCTTGATGTCGGTTGATTTATGTATTCATTTATCCGGGTCTGAAGAGTGAAGCCAAAGCTTCGTGTGTTAAAGCTGCATTGTCTCTAGTGTCCACCAGGGGGCGACTCCTCTGGTTGTATAGAAGTCTATGAGAAAATGACTCTACTTCTCTCTTGATTTATTACCTCAGTAAACATTGTAAACATGAGTTTATAAACAAAAGCAAAGTGGAGCTATTAGCAGCTAAACAGCCTTTTTTTTAAAGCAGAATAAATATTGGACTTTCATGAGCCAGGTGGACAGAAGCACAAAAAGTGTAATTTACATACAACGTTAATGTGCTGGATGACACTTGCAGCTTGTTTCCTTCAGCCTACTAAACCTCACTTTACGTTTGTCACTTTCTCAGATTCAGTGAAATACCTGGAGTGCTCGGCTTTGACCCAGCGCGGCCTGAAGACTGTGTTTGATGAGGCCATCCGGGCCGTGCTCTGTCCTCAGCCCACCAAGGTGAAGAAGAAGCCCTGCTCACTGCTCTAGACGGTAAGACTGACGCGAACGCAGAGGCAGAGTGGCCTAACGATGGCTGCCTTCCATTCAAGTGTCCCAGTGAGACATGCAAGATACCAAGATATCAAAGCAGCTAAATGGAATTCAGCCATCATTCATTTAATTATGGTTAAAAAGTAAATAGATAATACAAAGCCTATTGAAAGACGCACAAGTGAAGGAAGGAGGGGTCACGACCATTAAGTCCTCAGTTTGCTTTTCCTGGATCATAAGTCTGAACACATCCCGCTCCACCTGCGAGGACTCTTGATCACGTACTGGGCAGCGAGAACTGGACGATCGCCGAGAGACGATCCGAAGGCTTCTATTTTAACCACACAAGCAGTTTCACACACTTGACAAAGAGAATCATCGAGAATCATAGAGAGAGATGCTGCAAGATTTTTCAGGAAGAGGAGACTGAACATAGACCTGATTGGACAAACAACGATCCAAGGCTTTCTCTCCACAGGAGATACATTAGTGATTGAAACACAGTCTGAAGAATAAAGAGGAGCTCATTTTGAGCTGTCGCTCTTTATTATTAGCATAATCATTGTAGACTCATTGCATCCCGCTGCTATTTCAATATGTACAGAGAGACTTGAAAGACGTGTGTCAGAGCAATTATTTTTCCACAGTTGCATGTGGAATAACGAGTCCCTTCTTTGCTGAGGTAGTAATTGTTCTTAATATAAACTGCATCCTCATATCCGTTTCAAGGGAAACGTAGTTTCTCTCGGATTACGGTCGCAATTTCATGGAACATGGTTAACTTTGTAAATTGAAACAAAACAAAACAAAAACGCAGCAAAAGTACTTGGTTAAGTTCAGTAGAATATCATGGTTTGTTTTAAAAAAGAAAAAAACGTTTGTTACGTTCTTTAAGTTCCAGACGTAAATTTAAATAACGGACTTTTGGTCTCACACGGGACGTGAACAGCAGTCTCCTGAGTGAAGGTCCTGTGTGTGTTTGACCTAAACCAACCGACTACTTCTGTGGATTTTAATTGGAAATGTATTTGTGATGAAAAAACAACTTCAATCTGAGAGAAAATATGTTTTTCTCAATACGTAATTGAAAAAGCAGATATGTTGGAATGTCATTTTTTGGGAGACCGGTCTGGTTTGTGTACGATGATGTCACAGATTTATGTGGACTGCACTGTTTTTCGGTTCTTGCAGGACCAGAACGAAGACAGCAAGAGATTCAGACCGATGACCCGAAGGTTAAAGAAGAAGATTTGAAAGTTCTGTTATGTTTCTAATAGAAAACTACAAATAGAGTTCCACTAGTTAAAATAAATAATGCTTTTGCAGTCATGATACAACGGAAGCAAACCTGTCTGTACAGCACACTGAGACTGATCTTTAAAGTGCATTATAGATTCTGTGCCAGGCAGAATTCCTCTGTACAAAATACAAATTCAACGGAATAAATCACTAAATGTGGATGCAGACTGCCCCGGTTCACACACTATAGATTCACCCCCTTCAATGTAAGACCTGGAGCAGAGTGCTAGCTTTGTCCAATGTGCCACCATTCATCCACTCACTGCCCTTCAGGGGGCAACAATAAACCCGTCTTGAGTGATAATATTTGGTACTGAGTGCAAAGACAGTGTTGCAGCGAGATCGGTTCACAATGTCTCTCGACTGTTGTTTTGAGAGTGATGAACAATGAAAAAATCAGGAATGTAGTTTTTGAGCTGAACAATGTTGTATCTGAACAAAAGTTATGAACAAACGTATTATTTGTTGTGATATTGAAATAAAAGACATTTTATCAAGAAAGAACACCCGCGGAGAAAATGTTATTTCCACTTTGGTAAACCACATGTGAGGATCAAACCTGTGCTTTTCCAGTTATTGCATATTTCCGCGGCTCCTTGAAAGCAGCATGAGTCGCGGGTCATCGTCTACATGAAGGAGCTCAGTGTGGAGGTAACGCTGATGTATCTGACTGCATTTCTACCATCTGCTGCGAGCATCATCCGTCTCACTCTGCCTTCCCAGAGGCCGAAACATCAGGACAGAGACATCAATCTGACTCTAATCACAGATTAGCTGACTAATGCTGTAAATGGGGGAGAGGTCATTGTTGTGTGGGGATTGGGTGGGAAACATCGCTCATCGTTTGTGTAGGTGTGCGTGTTGGTGAGAAGGGACTCAGGTGTTAAAGACGTTATGTAAAGCTCTCATTCTGCTCATTATTTTGTTCTATTACGATAGAAGTGCACTTTAAAGCTAACATGGATTATGTCCAGTGGGAACATTTATTCCCAGGAGCAAAGTAGTGAAATCCTACGGAGCCTAAAGTTAAAGCAACACTTCGGTGTAGTTTAGGGAAAAAGATTGTTGAATGTTAATAATGAAAACACTTATGAGTCTCCTGATTCAATTCAAATTTACATTTTCTTTATTGAACCAACTCTTCAGGGCTCTGTGGCCCGTTGAAAGCCTTTACAGGCTGCGGCTCATTGACCGCAGATCACTTTTACTGTTGGATGCTGAATGTACCGACGTTACAACGAACTCTTCTACGAGCGATTAGTGGTTCTCCACATGACTGAAGTAGACTAACCTGTTGTTTCTACCATCATAAGACAACAGCGTCTGCTTCACCTTCAAACAGCAGCACAGTGGAGGTGATCTCATGTGTGCTTTAATGTCTTTACGTTTGTTTTAAACCGAACAAGATGTTTTAACCTTGGCCTGTGTCAAACAGGGATTCTATTGTTGTCTTCTGGATATGGCACAATTCAAACCTTTATGATCCATGGCACATAAAAAGATCACTTTGTGATCTAACAGTTTGATCCTTCTTCACAACTAACATTTCACATGGAGGGCTTCAACTTAAATATAAAACTCTGAGAAGAAAAAGTAAAAGACCCTCCCCTGATTTACCAGAAATAAATACATAAATAAAATGGATTAAGAAAAAGAAAAGCACCCCTTCTCTTCCTGCCCTTCCCCCACAAATAATAAGGTAGTAAGTACAGCAGCTATAATCACTGTTATTATAAGAACACACTGCCCCCACATGGCCACAATAAATCTTATTGTAGGTTTAGAGATATTGATCAGTGGAGCTTTAAATGTCACAGAAATCTGTTTGTGTATTTTTTCTGTGACACTGAAAACAAAAACAACAACAAAGGATTGTGAGTCATCTTCATTTTATTCAAACTGACAACATTGTACAAGAAGAGTCATATTGATGATCATAGTTATCAGTGTTGTTGAAAGAATAGCAGACTATGACATTTGGTGCTTTGTTGTTTTCCAATACAATGACTAAAATAACACATGTTAAAATCTACAGATGTGTTTTTATATACTTTGATTATTATTTATTACCATAAGGGTTTGACACCAAGAATGTGTAAACTAACAGTTATAACTCAGACACTACACTGTGAACAATAAAGTCATAGAATAACAGTTATTGTTTGTCTTAAAGGGCTTTACTAACATTTCATCAATAGTAAATGTATCAATTGCAAATTTAGAGTAACTCAACAGTTTTCTTA